CAATTCCCCAATGGCCAGTGTTCCTCTGTGTTCCACCTGCATAGGGAGTTTTTCTGCACCTTTATTTATGTCTTTATGTGTAGATTGACTTTGTCCTTCCAACCACATGAATCATGCAAATCAGGCATAGTATCTCGTCTTTGGTTCAATGTCTCACCCAGAAGGTAGGTGCCTTACTTTAACCCAGATGTTTTTCTCTTCAACATCTGTACATTCAGTCCAAACCGAACCGTTTTAAAGATTTTTTATTCTCTTTAATGCTCCCACTTGAAATTACATTGCTGTCACTTGAAACTTTAACGCGGTGTTATAATGCTGTACTTGGCTACATCACAGCACATTTGACTTGGCAAAACCAGTATGGGCAAAAAATAAAAAGTTTAATATCTTCATTTAAAAGTGTAAATTGATAAACTACAACACTTTGCAGATGTTAGACCCTTGGACTCCACTGCAACATTAATCTTCCTCACAGCACCCCCACTCCGCCTTCGCCCGTCTGACTCTGCTCCCATAGAGGCACCCGGGGCCTGGACCAGGGAGCCATAAAGGGCTGGTTTGTGTTTGGTTAGTGGTGCAGAGCGCCATGTGAAAAGCTTAATTTCGGAGGTCTGGAGGGATTAAACAACGCAAGAGGAGGAGGAGGTGGTGTCCGTGTGTGTGTGTGTGTGTGTGTGTGTGTGTGTGTTGAGCATGAATTTGTTTGTGTCTCCGGTGAGGCAGGCAGGCAGGCTGAGGTCTCGGTCTTCAGGCATATGATTTCAATTAGGGTCCTCCACCTTTTCCTCCTCCTCTCCTCTCCTCTGTGGACCCTCGGCTGACCAAACTGTGGCTGAGGTACCGTGGCTGAAACATGCAGTCCTTCAAGCTCTTATTAATCAGAGTAACCTTCAGTCAGGTTGATGAATGGAGCTACTTGGCTCCCCTTGGCTGAAATCACCTCGGTTTAACATGTTCCCCTTATTTGTCTTTCTTTGGCACATACAGACACACATACATGGTCAGTGATCCTGAACCATTAGCCATGCTTGGTTACCATTGTAAAACAGGCCGGCGGAATCAGACGGCCGCCAGAATTTACGAGCATACAGTGGTAGACAATGCTCGTTCTCATAAATCCTCTGGTCCTTTTCTTTTCCTCTGAGCCGGGAGGAATGCAGTCGAGACTTGGGAGAAAATGAAAGAGAAGCCGTTCCTCAAGAGACAGAAATTAGGAAACAGAAGATCTCACAGATGGCCTTTCTCAAAAGTCTTGTTATGTTGACTCTCTGTTGGACGTGGACCGACGCTGCTCATATTAACTCTTATTAATTCTAAACTGTTTTGACTACATTGGAAAAACAAGATAAGGTTACCAGGAGAGTAAGGGTGAGAAGGCATCCACCAGATTAGCTTGCGTGTCACCTTAACACAAAATCCCCATTAAACCTCAACATAGACCAGACCTGGAAAGGTCAAATAAATCTATTTAATGAGACAGTTGTCTTACAGCTGATTTTTGTAATAAAGAAAAGGAACTGAGCCACCGTACTTTTAGAGCAACTTGAAAGCGCTCACAGGTTCCTGTAATGTTACCAAACTGGCATTTTTATAAGGCGAGCCCCAGATGTGCGGACTTATAAATCCGTCATCCACCCAAGGCAAATATCTGGATAACAGACATGTAGTGAGCAAGCCGGAGAGAAACCAGCGTTATGAGGAGAAAGACAAAAGGAATGAGGTGGAGGGGGACAGAACAAGTCCAACCATCTCTGGTGTGAGGGTGAAAATGGGTGAACATTTATTTACTGCTGACAAAAGCGAAATCTCAGTAAAGCAGTGGTTTTGAGATGCAGGTCTTACACTGTAAATCCTTATTTTTACACTTTCAAGGGCTTTACTTGTCTTTGAAGGAGGCAAATATTGGTGTGGAACTCAATAATGTTTAAATAATCATTCATCAGAATAGGGATGGAGGGGAATGAAGCAATTTATCATTCAGCGTCTTCTAGGGTTGATTTCCTGCGATTTCTAACAAAATCCAAATACCATCTCGAACTAGAGTGTAGTTACCGACGCTGAGCCAGTCGGAACCCATCAGGACCGGTCAGGACACAACTAGACGGGCAGGGTTTGGACCAAAGTTTTGAATTGATACACGGGTTTGGGTTGAGTTTTGGGCTTTGTACTTGATTTTTTTAAGCTGCACATCTGGCTCAAATGAAACAGATCAACTGTCGATCGAGTTCGGCAAGCTCTGGGCTGTGTAGACAATTGCGGCCTGACTAGCACTCTAACCTTTCTTTCTGTTGAGGACTGTTGAGTGCACAGCCTTTCCTGACTTGCAGGTATAAAGATAGAACATTTTCTCTGTTGCTGTTGCGCCCATCTGTGTCCCTCTGGTGATTTTTATGGCTAAGCAAATAAAATGTTATTTTTTTTCCCTCCAGTCAATAAAAGTATATCAGCATCTTTTTTGTCTCCTAACGCTCTTTTAAATATATGATCGTATACGTTAGCGTGTGATTACCTGTCCTCCTGCACATGGCGTGTTTGTACAGATTAGGAGTCATAAATGTAATGTCTTTACCGTCATGCCTCTGCAGGGGTGTGTAACATAATATACTCCCAGGGATTTTCCTCCGATTGCCTCCTTTATATTCTCTAAACACAGGCATGAATAAACTTGTCTGGTGGTGAACCAGACAAGTTTAGTTAAACAGTGAAACAGTTATTGTAGCGATTGGTATTTGCAGATGTTGCTTTGTCTTTAAATGAATAGTGGGTTTTAATAAGGATTAAAAAGAGGTGCAGGGACAGTGATTTCACCTTTCCAGTTCTGGGCTTGTTCTCAGGAAGTTGACATGAGACTATTTGGCAGTGAAATAAAAGATTGACAGGTTCAAAAGGACACTTTGAAGGAACCAGGCGGCAAAGTACAATTGACTACTTGTTGCTAGTCCAAGTGAGACCTTGGTTGATTCCCCAGCTGCTACTGTGACTACCTGGCTAGAGTTACAATACCATTGGCAGTGTGGTCGGACACAAACTGCTCCAGATTTCACTACATCTGGCTGAACAAAACAAACACCAATAACCAGTCCCCATCGTAGGAATGGAACAATGGGCTTCCACGTGACAGGCTGATTGCTCACATGTATGAAAGTGAACAGATGGGTGAGATAAGGGTTATTCGGTTCTTGTTTGGGAGCAGAGTGAAGATCAGCACCGGGGGCCACATCCTACCCTGACCTCACACTCTCCCTGTTGTCAGTATAATTAATCAGAGGTAGAACTTTACTGATCATTCAGTTAATGTCACTAAACATTGAAGTATATGAATTTTTAATCCCACTCAGTTCGAGTTCTCCATCTGTTAAAACAGGGCTAAAGCCAATGAGTAAGTTCTGGTTTGGTTTGTTTGGTGATGTGGTGAGAACCAGGCTTCAGAGGGGACCGGCTGGTTTTGATATTCTGCCCAAACAGGGTTTGGCTTTTGGGGTGAAGCTGCCTCGAGCGCTGCCTCCCCCCCACCCAGCCCTCCCCTGAGAACTTAACTTGGCCACCTGCTTGAATTTGTTTCCCCCAGACTTTTTGGATTCATCCATCCTCACATGCCCACAGTTTTTGGGGCGAGTGGGAAGACGTGGTTTTAAATTTCTTGAAAGTAATCTGTCTTAACTGCAGGAGGCAGGCCAATGACAGGACACTTCCCTGAGTTCAAGATGTGGGTTGGTCAGGATAGATGTTGTGGAGGTCTCCAGTTTGCTGAAAAGTGCTGATTATGGCAAGATCTATGGAAGTGTGTGTGTGTGTGTGTGTGTGTGTGGAAGTGTGTGGAAGTGTGTGGTCCAGGCCAGGGCTGAGGACAGGATCACATCAAGCAGACCCATCTGTTTAAATGACAGGGGTCCTGTATGGAGAGGACGTGAAACTGTACCTCCTGTAGCTAAAAGGTATTTTCAACTTGCCCAAAACACACAGGCAGCCACACACAGTCTCAAACACAGGCACACACAGTCATTCCAGTGGCACATACATCTTATCTAGAATGACTCCACTTAACTAAACAAATCGCATATTTCCAGCTGAAATGTTTATTGTCTAAACTCCTGCTCATGCACAGCCAAGTTTCATCATTAAAAACTGCTGCTATCTCTCAAATTCAAAACTCTAAAACACTATCGGAGGTGGTGACATCATTGCAAGCCATGTAATAAAACTTTTTATGTGTAAAGTTCAGTCTCTGGCACTGAGCGTTATCACTCAAGTTTTGCTGATAAACACAGAACTGCTGGGTGATGTCACTGGGTGAGTTTTTGCAAATGCATGAAAAGGGCGTTGACCTCGGGATAAACACACTGGCTGAGCATTCAGCAGGCGTCTGTGCATCTGTCCCGCGTTATTCCAATCGAGTCATCTAAACAGTTGTAGCTGAGATAAAGTTATAGTGGAGAGAAAGTCTGATAGAGCATGACAGAAAGATAATAATTGAATCTTGTACAGTCTATCAGCTCTGTCAGCTTCTATAAACGACTCTACTCATAGAAGAAGCAGCTGGGGGAAGACTGCATTTCCATGTTTACACCACATAAGTTGATTTGTTTTGACAGAAACATTTGCAGGATAAATAATGCAAGCTCCTTCTTTATAACCCTGACTGTTAAAGAGGTGGGAAGAAACAACGTGGAAAAATCTCTTTTTTCTCAAACCTCACCGCAGCAAAGACTCATTTGGGAACAACCTCTGCCTCTAAAGAACTGTGGTTTTCTAGTCAAGGCATCAACAGGCTTTGTTTGTTGACCCTCTTCTCTTTTTATGTAAGATGCATTCTGTAATTAAGTCATTACCGTTTTCCTTCCTGCAAACACGAATGAGCTCCTCTAACGTGACAAGCCTCTCTCTCTCCATCGAATCCCTGTTTCTCTCAAATTTGTTTTAAACGATAGAAACTGTGTATTTTATCTCCCATGTCCTGTTTTTTTTAAAAGACATCCTTCTTTTCTCTTCTGTCTTTTTAGAATTTCCGTCCCATCAACAGCGGATATGGCGGTTACAGCCGTAAACCTTCATACACCCCCGAGCCCCAGTCCCCACCGGCCCCTCAGACCACTCACGTGAATAACGGACACTCCAGACCCAACAACGGCCACAGCTATGGATACGGAAACGGACACGCTCAGTACAACAACCCGACAGGGCTTTACGCTGGCAGCAACGGTGACAAGTTTCTGCCAAGCAAGATGGGCGGCCTCAACCTCAGCGCCACACACAGGTGAGACATTCTAATACTTTTACAAAATGCAGTAAAACAATACAAAATGGATCATTTATTTAAAATACCAGCACTAAAATACAGATGAAAATTACATTTACTAGAGGCAAAATACTACTTTGCTGCTCACAGACCCTGTAGTTAGACTGTATTCAATTTTACTGTCGGCATTTTATACAGACAGATTACAGCAAGGTTATGCCAAGTCAGAAATATACTGTAAAATATGTCCACTTCATTAGAATTACCCAGAATGAAATACAATCAATTTTAGTGTAATGACAAAATGTAGTTCTATATTGTAAGTTTTTACAATAGAGTACAACAAAATCTACGGTGATTGTTTTAAAGTTCATTTTGTTCAAGTACTTCAGGATCTAATCATCAAAAAATGTATGTAATTGAAGAGAACCAGTAAAAACAAATGTAATATTGAAAGTCAAAGTTGTAATATTGAAATTTAAGGTGTATATATGGATTAACATCAACTCGTGCATTCAGTTACATTCAACTCAGCCTATTAGTATCCATTACTACATCACTACATTAATTTAATATCTTCTTTATTGCCACATTACAACTACTCCATCCAAGTTTGTATCATCTAATACTTGAATAATATAATACACTTACAGTAGGAGAGTACTAATCACAACATATTCATGAAATCAATCTAACATATGAATGTTTGTATAGTCGAAGAAAGCGTTGTTACATAACCTTGGAAAGGAGCCAAAGATGAGTAGCGCACAAGCACAAGTGCACTTTATTATTTTAAAAAAATAGCGTCATAACAATAATACTTCATATATCTACAAACTTACTATAAATGGGAACTTTTGGAGTCTATATGTTGTTAATAGCAGGGACTCATGAGGCTTTCAAAATATCCCATGATTTTCCCACACCTGCCTCATTGCACAACATTACTGTGAGAAAATCATGGGAATGGATATAAATAGTTGTAACTCCCAAGTGATTCCATCTAAAATCCATAAACCTTATATTGTCAGAGCATCAGCAGCAGCAGATGCACACACAGACGTGTACATATACACACTCTAGATGTCTCCTGACACACCTGCACAGATGGATTGGTGCCTCTGGAAAAGCCATTTGCTGTTGTGTGTCCCCTCAGGTGGACGATAAATATGTTAGTTTAGACTCAGTGAACGTCCTCTCCAGAGTTCCCCTGGTTGGGACTGTTAATCCGTACTAGGCCCACACACACACACACAAACACACACATACACACACACACACATGCTTCCTTCAGACTCTTGGAGTCCAGAGATACTTGCAGTTGAGTGTGTCAGGATTTAAGCACATCTGTCAGCAGCCCCGTGCATCTCCCAGAGGTTTGAATGTATCAGATGAACATGATCCCTCCTGTGCGGTTGTGGAAGAACTTGATGGATGGATGAACATGCCGGACCATAGCGCAGCGCTGTTGTGATTGAGACTTCATGCCGGTGGAATCACATGTCGAGCGTGAGGCAGAGACTTTTCTCAGCAAAAGACAGATGGATGCGATGTGTTTGTAGAAAGAAGAATGCTGCATTTCTCATGGTTTTCTTTGGTGGTCTGAGAGCCATCATCTGTTCTTTTATCTTTTTGTTTAGGCTACTTCAGCTCCTTTCATTCCTTCCTTAGTCAGATATTACCAGAACCATTACCAGGATACCACCTGGTAATAAAATGTTTTGTCCAAATCAGCCAAGATCACATCATCCCAGTGTTGTCTTCTGTGATTAATAAAGGATAATGATGTTTTTTAGTCTCCTGTCAATTATACTTTGTTTCTTGCCTCTCCTGTCTCCTTCAGCCCAGAGCCTCCTATGCAGCCTCCTATGCAGCTTCCCATGCAGCCTCCTATGCAGCCTCCCATGCAGCCCCCCATGCAGTCTCCCATACAGCCTTCCATGCAGTCTCCCATACAGCCTCCCATGCAGTCTCCCATGCACTCCCCCGGGGGCCGCAATGGTTTCAACACACAGTCAGACGTCTACAAGATGCTGCAGGACTACGAGGAGCCTGTCTCTGAACCCAAACAGTCCGGATCCTTCAAGTATCTCCAGGGAATCCTGGAGGCTGAGGATGGAGGTAGGGATTTCTGTGCTGTTATTCACACTGTGCTACTTTTTGCAGGAACCCATAACAATCTGTATATAAAGGCAGAAGCTTTTTCTAACCTTACATTTATTCATATGTATGCTGAAATTCCTGGGTCAGTATCTCCTCCAATGCAGATGAGTCCATGTCCAGCTAAAGGAACATTTTGCTCAGGCAGCTTCTCTCTGACTGTTTTCAAATCCTCTGTCAAACTGGCATAGTTTTCCTTATATAGAAAGACACAGACAGCGAGGACAGGCTCAGAGAGACAGAGAGAGCGAGTCAGCATGAGAGAAAACAAGAGACGGAGAGAACAGGAAAAAAAGAAAATGATGAAGCACTTTAAATAGCTCACGCACGGATGAGCAAAGGAGGGAAGTTTTTCTAAGGCAATTTACTGCAAAAACAACTTCACAAAGGTCACTAAAGAGAGAAATATGGTTTTCCTGTCGGCCCTCTGACCACGCGGCAGCTGAACTTCTGAGAGGAAGTCCTGTGATGCTGACAGCAGGGATAATCCCCGGAACTAAAACCCTCTCTTCGGGTTTCCTTGTTTATCACTAACGCAGGAAAAAGTTGTGAAAGCAGTAATAAGCCAAGCGTTGGTATGTCACTGCAGAAAGAGCACAGTCCTCAGAGAACAGGGGTTATGACCTGTTAGTGTGGATCATCGATCATTGATGTTTATTTCTCACACTGAGGCGTCCTTTAGACACGTCCTTTAACTCGGCTTTTACTGGTGAGTCAGCAGCTGTTGATGCAGGAATCTGCAGCGTCATATTCAGCATGTTTTCACGATAACAAACTCCATGTGTAAACAATTGTTTCAATGTTTTGTGTGCACCGTGTGTACTTTGTCATATTAGAGAAGCTCTGTCCAAAGATTTAGCAATTGCTTTAATCTGCTCGGAGAGAGTTCACATACTCTGGTTCGACTGATGTGGGTTTTTGATGGCAGTGCTGGTGCAGATGTTTTTGTTATAGAGCACTGAATGATGGCTAATATGTGGTGGTATATGGTAAACTGAATATTTTTCATGCAACAAAATAAAAAAAACATGCAGTTTATGTGTCCTCCTGGGGCCAATTTCACAAAATTTGCAGCATGCAAGCCACGCCTTGTAACTTGAGAGCATTCCCTCTTTTGTTATCTAACTAGAAAAGAAACGTGCATGAGTAAGGTAGACAACTGCAGGAGTTGTATATAGCAGTTATTGAGAATTCATGCTTGTCATCCTACAGTATGTTAGACATGCTGCTACATCAGCAACATATGCCCCCCCGGCACACACACACACACACACACACACACACACAGAATGACACAATTTTTCAGTTCGACACCACAAGGTCAATTACTGTATCAGTAATTTATGGGAGTGAGTCAACGGGATGCTTGCACCATTTCTGTGTAAGACGTTTCCGCATAACACAGCCCCGTTAATTTTTTTTGACAGTGCATAAAACTGAAAAAGCTAAATAAGCCTATATCTCTTCTCTCAGTAATAATGCTGTGTGATATCAAAGCTCAGTGTATCTTGCTTCTCGGCCAAAACACAGCTGGGATTGGCTCCAGCCCCCCGTCGACCCTCAAAAGGATAAACAGTGTAGGTACTTAAAGAGATAACAAAGTTTAGTGTGCAAATCATTATCTCTAGCAAATATATAAAGTATAATAATGCCATTCGAATGGAAAAGCCTCTGTGCATATTTTTGAAACAAAAAAAGGAGCAACAGTTTCTTTTCCCCTGTGGAATATTACCATCCCTGGGCAAAAGTGAAAACTTCCCTCCCGGTTATCACACCTCTGGGTCAGCCTTTTGATGTGAGAACCGACAGGATAATCCACAGCACAAGGAACAAACGCTGACTGCCCTTGCAGCGAGGCCTGGAGTGCTGCCAGGCCGCTTCAAACTTAATTTAGTGCTTAATATTGCACTCAACGCAGCAAGCGAGAGGGGGAGTGTTGTCGAAGGAAAAGAGTGGCGCTAATGATAGACAAAGGGGCTGCAGGGAGAGAGAGAGTAAGTAGCACCGCTGATGGATTGAAGAGATTAAAAGGAAAGTGTGTTTGTCTGCTGTCGGTGGTCGTTCGGCTCATGGAGATTACTGACAGGTTGATTGACAGACCAAGTCCTTGGAAAGATGAGCCTGACGAATCCTCAGGTTTACATCTGGATCATTTTAAAAGCTGTACCTGTCTTTGTGTTCATCTGAGATGTGCGAGAGATCCTGTCGCCGAAGTGTGTCCCTCGGCTGTTGCTGGTTAAGGAAGTGGAATTAACAGCTGTGAGCAGATCCGACTCTCTCAGGTTAAAGCGAACCCGTCCTGTTTTTTCATGCATACCTTGTTGTCAGGCTTTTAAATCACCGCAGTTGGTCCCACTTTTGAAGGAGCCCCCCCTCCCACCTTAGGGGCCGTGTTGACTTTCAGGGGGCTTTTAAAGTTAAAGCAAACAAGAGTGTCAGTTTACCCAGAATTCCACAGGCTTCACGATGATTGGCTAGCAACTGTGATATAGAAAGTGTGTGGAGTGTTAGGATGGAAATTTTATTCCTAAAGATGGATAGAATATAGAGAGTTATAGAACTCAATTTATCAATATTGTTTTTTGCATGTGGAGCTATTATAAGTTTATATGAGGACAAATAACTCATTTACTCATGAACAGACCATTTGCTGTATGTTTTGAAAAAGTGCACAAAAATAGTTTTTTTTTCCTTTTTAGACTTTTTTAGTCGCACATGAGAACTTATGATTTCAAATAAAAACAAATTGAGGGAAAGACAGACACGAGAGGACAAGACATTTGAGAAAGCATTTTTCTTCAACAGCTGGGAAAAGAAATAAACATTACTGCCGCTGACCTCCACGAAACCTCACACCTTCTCACCCACCATATTTTCAACCTTCAGCTGTTTATGTCCCAAAAAATGTCTTTATATCAACTGCCCGGGTATTTTTTTTAACAGAGAGATTGTCGCTTCACACTGTGATGAACGATGGCAACAAAAGCAGGTTTCAGTGCATATAAAAGTGCTCAGGAGGGAAGCAGGCCGTGTCCTTTCCCAGAATACGACCTCTGTGAATTCAAACATCCATCAGCGTCTCTGGTATGCAGAGGGAAATGTTATACTCTTAAAGTATAACACTTCTCTGATTATTGATGCCTGCTGGATGATGAAATGTAAACGTGAAGTGCTCACACATAGGGAGAGCTGCTACGTTCAGGTCACTTGGTCCCATGAACCATATGGGAGGTTAAAGGGAAATATATCACAGTTGTCCCCTGCTCGAATGTAAAACGGCCGATAGAGTGATGGAGATAAACATCACATCAGTTATGGTTCCATTTTACATCCACTGCAGAGAAGGTTGATTCTGGGTGTGAGGATTTGTGGGAACGTTCAGATGATTATTCCTCAGGGATCAAGCTGGACCTGAAAAGATTTAAAACCATGTTAAGATTTCTGCTCCAGTGGTTGTTAAACAAACACTGTCTAAAAGCACTTCAGATCTTTGTTTTGTTAATGTGCTTCATTTAATTTCTAAAACTAGTGCAATGCCTTTTATAAACCTGCCTGTTTGCTTGGCCTCTTGTGATGTTTTTTGAAACTATAAAAGAAATGCTGAGGAAAATTCAGTGACGCTCGACTCAGTAAACAGAACATTGAACCGGAGAATCAGTTGTTGTTGTTGCTGTTGTGCTGTTTTCGTGAACAACAACGTCACTTTGGTCCCAGCCGCCGCTGCTACAGAGCGCTGGTCACTTGTTTATTCAAATTTCATTCATACTTTATGTGTTATGTGTCCAAATCACATCAAATTCTTCAATGCTCTTACAATATGTGAAGCCAATAAATGAACAGTGAAATGAACAGATCCAAAACATATGGTTTTAATACTTGACCTACAGTCATTTTCTGTTTGGACCAAACTATCATTTCAACACTTTCAGTCTTAGTTTTCTCTGATGTCCCCAGAGATGATAAATGCATCTCTCCAGCAGCTGATCATTGGGCCCATTTTCCAATTCTATTTCTTTCTAAATCCCCTTTTATAACTCTTATGACAGAGAAAACCTGCAGCTCAAATGGTCAGGAACAAATCAAGACTTTTTTATCCCCTCAACAGCTGTATACACTTATATTATTACAGCTGTTTATTTTTCTTTTCAATATTGGGATTTGCTCTGCCTTCAATTCCCTCTGGCTCCAAACTCTGCGCTTGACAGGTCTCAGTTAGATGGAGGCTGACGCACACACACGACTGTTACACTACAGTACATCTGGTTGATATTAGTCACAGTGTAGGACACACTTGTTGCGTGGGGTGAGATATGCCTGTGTCGTAATCTGCCAGCTTGTCACTGTCTGTCAAACAAAGCACGGCGTCTTAAGTTGTGTACAAACAAGACGAAACAAGCTCTCAGTCGTCCTCTTTTGGTTCAGTCCTGACTCTGAAGACTCTACGCGTCAAATCTCATCTCAGAGCGCTGCACATAAATGCTTCTCCGTCAGAGTGCATCATTAGGTTCTGGAGACATTAATCCCAGGAATAACAAACCCAGCTTATGTCAGCGCTTAAACACAGCACAGAGGGGTCCGAGGGGAGCTGTTACCAAGCGACGGATAGTCCTTTGAGTCGGGTGCCAGTACCGCGGTTGTTAGGCCGCGGTTAGTATCGGTGATATGAGGCCTCTGAGCTGCTGGCACATCCCCAGTGAAGGAAAACCACTACTGTGCTGCAGTGGCTGTGCCCCCCTGATCTACCCTGTGCACATGGAGCCCCTGAAGTGATTCCAGTTATCCAGTATTAACTCTACACCCCTTTTCATGTGATCCAGTTAGACTTAACTAAATGCCAATGTGAATGTTAAAGAAAGCTTTCGTTCCAATGGCTGAAAGAATTGAGATATTTGAGTTAAATTAGAAAATCCATTGAAAATCAGTTTGATGTTAAAGGCCTGACCAGTTTCCAAGTGTTCTTGTATTTATTCTGTTATTTTCTTATTTCTAGGTGTGTCCCCAACAGAGAGGATGAGAAACTTAAAGTCTCCAGTCAGGTCTCCAATCCCCAAACTGGGAAGTCCCGTTCCCAGCCCCATGTCTGGACTCCAGAAGCTCCCGCAGTGCACACGCTGCTGTAACGGCATTGTGTAAGTATTGTGCAGACCCTAATTTTATTTTAAAGAAATATGAAAAGTGGATTAGAGGATACCAACTTACAACATCGTGTAGTTGTATGTCATTTTTTTTCCTTTTTGCTCATGAAATGTAAACCTCTCAAACTCGTCCTTTTTGTGTAAAATATTCAAAAGTTTTGGTGTATTTTCATTTCAAAACTTTAGTGCAGCACCCACTATACGTGAGGTGGGTCACGGTTCCTCCCTGAAACGTAGAAGTTAACTGGTGCTGGTCGACCTGCACCAGCTTTCACAAGCGCTCCAAAAAAAAATAGATTCCCATTCAACACCCCCCCTTCCTGTGCACATATGATGTTTACACATATTTTGAACTGCACACATGCATGTAGCTGCATATTCATAAACAGTGAGCGTACACTCTCCATTCACACACTCTCCAGCAGATCCAGTGATGTCATCGGCTTACTTTACCCGTGAAGAAGAAGGCATTGTGGGAGCTTGTGTGGCACAATGAAGCTGTTATGACCTGGGAGCATTTTACAGCTTTTTAAACAAGTGCAGAGCAGGAGTCAGGAGTTTACCCTACAAGTTGTTAGATGGGGAAAGTGGTAAAAAAACAAAAAGCAGCAGGCCCATGACTGAATGATCATTGTCCGAAGAGGAAAATCTTACTGGAAGCATGTGAAAGAACAAGTGCAGTCACTGTGTCACAGAGGAAAGCAGAGAACGTCTAAGTGAAGTAGTGTTGATTGGTGGCGAGCTGGCAAAATAAACATGAACCATACACCCTTCATATGTGACAGAATGAATATGTGTAATGTTTTGGTGAGGAAGAGAAATATTTAAATGTTTGGTTAGTTGCTATAAAGTTTGATAAATGTTGATTTGCATAGATAATGGGAAATGCAATAAACAACCGAGTCATAACTTCCTTTTTAAGTGTTCTGCTCGATGTGATGTCGTCTGCAGCGATCCCTTTTAAGGCCGTCCGCATTTTGCTCGTCAAAGCATCATCAGTATTTTTGTTTTCACTCTCTCATTACATATAAGGCCGTGTTATTCCTGTTCTCTGATTGTAAAAAATAAATGTTGGATTAAGACAACAGAGTCCAGCAGAACACCAGCAAGAAATCAGTCGACATTAAACACAATCATAAACCTCAAGCTGGATATTAAAGACGGGGGGGAAGGACGGAGAGCTTGTCCTTAAATAAATCTTGATAGGGTGGCTCTTATGGACGAAGAGCTAGAAACATAAACACATACTCAGGAATGGTTTCTGTTCAAGAGGCTTACGCAGCTACAGTATGGCAGCAAATGGACATGATATGTTAACACAGACACCACTTGTATACCTTGCACATATTTTCTGCACAATCATATATTTTTCAACATAGATACAGCTATTTATTTTTATATACTTTGATTTTTATATATTTAATGTTTTTGTATGTATTTTTTCACTTATTCCTCTTGTACCTTCAGTTCCCGTCTTTATCTGCTTGTATTTGCTGTATTTGTTTTTGAATTTTCTTTATCTTTCCCACTATTTGTCTCTTTTAGGATTCTGATTCTGAAGGGTGGATCAGATATAACTATGTTAAACACTATTCTGTAGCTGTAAACTCTAAACAAAACTGTACAGGTGAATTAGTTTGCGGAGGGTAAAGGCTAAAGAAGACAACATCTGTTGGTTTCATGAAGCCTTGGTTTTTTTTCACTGTGCGATCGTCCCCTGCTGCATCTCTGTGGTTTGTAAATTTCTAAAAGTCCAACACTCTCTGTCTCCCTTCAGTGGCACCATCGTGAAGGCCAGGGACAAGCTCTACCACCCCGAGTGCTTCATGTGTGACGACTGCGGCATCAACCTCAAGCAGAGAGGCTACTTTTTCATCGAGGACAATCTGTACTGTGAGACCCACGCCAAAGCACGCGTCCAGCCCCCCGAGGGCTACGACGTCGTGGCTGTGTACCCCAACTCCAAGGTGGAGCTCGTCTGAGACGGAGGTGCAGCCCGTCCCTCTGTAATATAAGTGGGAATCCAGAATATGGGAGGATGGGTCTACTGAGTATCTAAGCCTGGGTTTATTTGGCTCCGTCAGGCAGGAATTGACGATCTTGGATATTGGGGTTTAACCTTTAGCAGAGTCCTATGAAATTTGTGTTTCAGCCTTTTTACACTGACAGACCCAATGGAATGCAATAGACATCAGGCATCTTGACATATGTAAAAGCATCTCCAACCTATTAACAAGCTGATATTGTTCACTATGTTCCCTTTGACGGCCCTCATTTCTCAACTGTTGAATCCTACACACACAAAAACAGCACAAAACAATGTTCAAATCCACATCACAAGCACATTACTAGATCATCCCATGTAAAAAAACAAGAAATGAGCATTGCAGAGTTACCACAAGAGATATTTGAGCTGAGTGGGCTGCTTGCTGTGATGAAGTCTGCAGGAGCTGGTGATCTTTGCTGAATTTGCATTTCACACCATTATAGTGACAGTTTCCTATATTTGCCTCTGTTCTGCAAAGTCATCTAAAGGTATTGGCGATATATTGTTTAATGCTTAAATGGGTTAAAAGGTTTATTTTCAACTATAACTTACAGTTACACATTATACTCCTGCTGCCGTTGGACTTTTGCATTTGTAATCTACATGTTAATTTTTCAGACTTTTATACAGTTACAGAAACATCTCTCTTTGATTGTCACTTTTTTTGCTCTCTTTTCTGTTACGTGTAATTCATTATAATGGAATGGGAATGGAATGTGCGTCAGTTTGCTTTGAGGTGTGGGTTTGCTGAACTACAACCCACAGCGACGCCTCCGTACACAGCTATGAAAACACCACCTTCTGAAATGTCAACAAAACTGCAGGAGGCATTTTCAAAGCTCTGTGAGAGTCTTGGTTAGATTTAGTAAAAGATGTGAGCACAAAAACCTGAATTCATTTTCAGCAAATTGCAACAAAAATGAGGTTTTAACAATGCATTGAATTTATTCCCAACAAAGGAGATAAAGTGCCTCTGGCTCGTGCACCTGACTGAGAGAGGAATTTCAGCTCTCACCCTGAAGAATTCAAGTTCACAGAGGAGAGAGCACAGAGTTCAGCGGGTGTGTTTATTAAAAACACTCCGGGTTAACACTGCCCACTCGCCACATCTTTTAAAAGCAGTCATGTGCATTTGAGGAGATAGAGCCATAGAAAACTGTTAGAAACTCATAAAGTGGGGCTCCACAGCCGACAACATGTGGGAGCAATATTCACTGTGTGTAGAGGCTTGGACCCACTGCAGAGAAACATTACTGTTCCTCTTTTAGGAAGATGGAGAGAGACAGAAGTTGGAGGTCTGCGTAGTTTAATTCCCTTCCTACTATGAATTCAGATTTCTGCTCACAGCCAAAAGATAAATGAAATATTTTTTTACTTTCCCTCTGAGAGAGAGGGAGGAAAGAAATGAGGGGATGCCGTAAGTTTTCTTCTCGTGACACGTGGTTTTTTTTACAATATAATTCTTGGCATGTTGTGAACCGGGTGGAGAAAGTGAGTCTATGGTTTTAAAAAACTTTCCTAACAAAACTACTTGGATCATTTCAGATGAGAAAATGAACTTTGCCGTGCAGATATCCGTCTTTTTTTTTAGATATCAACAATGTTGTGTAGCCACTGGTATGCCATCTGTACTAGTTACCTTGTAAATTATGTGAAAATGATATTGCTACCACGTTGCTTCTTTGGTATTGTATATATTTGTTTTTATGGTGATTGCTTTAACATATATAAAACATGTCACTCACATGCCTTCTGCATAGCCTGTGTCTTTACATGATTTCTTTGACACAAATCCTCTTTTTGTGTTTAACTTATTGTTCCACCAACACACGTTTTTGTCCTGGATATTCTTATTTTCTCTTTTTTTTTCTAGGACCTGAATAAAATGAGAAGTGAATTACAATGACGTCCACTTTCTTTACTGTTCGAGAAAAGGCTCAAGACCTACATCTCTAACAGATATCTGGGTTTACAATTGGTCCATATTTATATAGCACTGTGCTTTCTTCTATGACTAAGGGGCAATTTTGGGGTTCAGCATCTTGCTCAACGACACTTAATGAAAGGTGAGGACTGGCTTCGAACGGCTCTCTGGTGAGAGGACGACTGCTCTACCCCCTCTCAGCCACAAGATATGTGTCTTACAATCCAAATCCTCAGACATCCACTTCACAGATGCTTCGATTCTGAGCATAAAATTGTCAGGATATAAAACCCGACCTCATGGTTTCAGCACGTTGCGTCTCATACAGCTTTATTTCCCTCGAGAACAAGTACATTTTTCAGGGTGTAAGGTACAACCCTTTATACACAGTCTATGGGTACGACACATAAAGTCTGATTTGGTCCACAGTATCTGGGCAGAAATACCCGGAGTTGGTTTTAATTAAGGAGCAGTGATGCTTGTTTCAATTCATTTATGTCTGCCTTTACCACATTCAACTGTCATTTAGATTTCCCAACATCCACCCACTCACACGTTGCCTCATTAGTTTCCTACTATATATTTCCAATTGAATGCTACCAGATTATCTATTTTATCACGTTTGGTACCTGCCAGATTTTTGTTTTTGAATTTTGCCCTATACTTGCTCCCTTTTTGCCTTTTGGCCCAATGTCCCTGTCTCCTTACCACCAAACACTACCTGTCCTATATTTTAATTTGAGCCCAAAGTGAGCTGGAAGAGAAGTAAACTGACAAAATAGTAAAAGATGATAAACAACATGATTATGAATAGAGCTCCAGAAGGATTTAAGTGATCAGGAGAATAGGATATCTAGACTTCCATGTACGTGACAACTGTGCATGTCTGAGCTATAGATTAGTGAAATCTGCTTGTCCAGTTCTTGTGGGTCGTCCGCATCTATTTCTTTAACAAAAGAAATCATTCATTTAGAATTAAAACTTGATTGCTCTAGGTGCATTAACTCCAATCATTCTTTAAAGCTATGAGAGGCTGAATTTAGTCAGCTACAATTACGGAACATGTGTGAAAATGTTTAAAAGAGCACTTTGGCTCAGATGTCGTTTGGGAAAAGAGCCAGTGGTGCTAAAGTCTTCACACATTTCTGTAGTGATGCTTCACAGAAACCGCAAATGTGTTGATGTTCATCACTTTTCTGGCTTTTCCTGTCGATGCGTGTGCTTCAGAAACAGAGCAGAACGACTCTTGCACACAGTTAGAGCGGATGGCAAAGATGCAAGGGTTTGAAATGAAAATCAGGAGGTGAGAAGTCATATATTATCCCATTAAAATGACCCAGTGCCTTCAGTGGTAGCTCATTCAACACAAAGAATGATATGTGCAGATTTTAGGTGTAAGTGAGAGAAATCAGGGAGATAAACAGACGACAAAAAAAGAAAGCAAGAGAGAGGATGAAGTAAACAAAGCACCAGTGTCTGAACCAACAGATACTTAGTCCTCTGAGGGGTTTTCATTTAATCAGCATTTGCATGTGGGAAACATTAGCAAATGCTTCCCACATGCGTAACCCAAACTGAACTTAATACAGTTAAAGAGCTCATTTTAGAATTTTCTCTTTAAGATTGGCGCTACGGGCAAAATTAAGTCCACTCAAGATGTATGTATTTGTTTCAGGGGAAGGGTCAGATAAGTTTACTCCAAAGTGAATTTTCCACATGTTCCAAATAACAGAGGTGGAGATACCTTAGACGTACGTCCACCTTCAAAAATGTTCCTGGGAAAGGTTTATACATTGTGCTTCAGTTTAGTTTCGTGATGTAAATATGAAGTTAAGGTAAATCTGTTGTGGAGGAACTTTACCGAAGAGACCCACGCAGCGAAGAGGAAGCAAAACAGGCAACATGAGAGAGAGAGAGGGGGACCGAGGCTTAAACGTGGAAAGAATTCAGCCCCTCTCTCCCATCCACAGTGTAAACATTTAGTTCATTTTAAAGATAAACACTTCCAGTTGCACAGAAACAAAGCTCAACGTGCTGTGCAGGCTGCAGCATTGTCACTTGACCAACTAGTTCTGGGTCCATCACATCTGTGAACATTCAATATCAATATACATTTATAATATGCAGTTTTTTCAGTGTTGTTCAAAGACAAATTTACCTGCGAGGAATAGATGACTTTTGCCTGTTTATTTCCTTGGTCCTATTGTTTGTTTCATGCATGATCGGTCATGCAATTGTCTTAATTGTTAAGAGATTTTAAAAAACTATATCTTCCTTGGCCAAGCTTGCAACTAAAGAATACTATCAGACTCTTTAGCTCTATAAGGTGCTGGAATATCTAAAAGAGAATTATGTATTGAGAAAAGATGTTTGATTTATCAACTGTAACTTAATCCTTCTTTAGGCTTCTCATGAAGTTTAATAGCATCTCTACTTAATAAATCTCAAAGATGGAAGTCCAGCTCTGTGTACATGGGTAACAGGCTTGTTATCTTTCTGCATATAAGTGCTGCTCCAATACTTTATTTGTGTGAGTGACACCAGGCTCCTCATTCTTTCAACTGCATGTTCCTTTCTCCTCTACTCCGAGATGCATCCCAACAGTGTCACTATAGCAACCTGTTTGCAAATCAAAGATCAGTACAACACCTTACCTCCCTAGTGTTTGATGACAACAAAGTTCTGTCTCTCTTTTATCTTTGCAGCTCCCTCCATCTTTACGGAGCATACTGTTCATTCCAGGCTTCTGGTTCCAAACGGTACCAACTTGCTGCCTGGGACAGCCGTGATTTGTGGAGTCTTACTGGACGAGTGCAGGATATACCTGGGAATAAGACTCTGTACATGCAGCAGAGCAACATTCTGGCCATTCCTGCTCGCAAGTAAATTGGAAACATGCACCATAACTCAAAGGAATCTTATAAGCAACACACAGACCTTTGATTTACTTCAGTAAAGGTTCTCGGAGGGTATGATGTGGCGCTCCGTTAGAAGAAGGTTTGGTTGATGATGGAGGAGACAAGAGACAATCTTCTGTTATGCTTTAGATTAAATGGCTGCAACATAAATTCCATTCTAATATGAACGCAATAATGCAAGTGATTTAGTTTTTTACGACCATACATGTCACAAAGAAATATGCATCCTGTAAAATAAAGAAGAAATCAAGTTGTTGCTTTGAAATATAAAGGAGTTCAAAAGAGGAGCTCTGGGTTTATCTTTCAGATAGTGAAGATTTTGGTCGTTATAGAAAAGATTCATGAGGATTCCTCTCAAATGTGACAAGACGTTTGCAGACAGAGCCACAGTGCTCGCAGAGTATTTGGCAGGAGACTATAGGTGACGCCTTCAGAGAGAAATCTGATGCTTATAAATGATTCTTGTGATTATAAAAACATCATATACAAATTGGCAGAGCTTTAATTGATTAATGGCATTTTGATTTTTTCATTTATGATTGCACATGTGTTTGATATTGTATTTTTATTGTTTTGGCCACATGAAGGGATCAGACTCTGATTGAGCCTTGCTTTGATTCTCATCAGGATTTGGAAAAGAAACAGTCACTGATCTTGAGATATGCAGGAAGTTCTCAGATGAGCAGTAAAGTCCACTGAGGAAAGTCAACAGCTGGTCCTGAAGAGGCTGGCGAATAAAAGGTTAACTTGGAGTGAATAGATCTGTTAATACACAAGAAATACAGAAAGACAGCAGAGAGTCTGACTGGCAAAATGTAAGCCTTCATCTTCATTTTTGGCCAATTATTTTTTGTTTGAACACAACCTAGCCTAATTTGAGTTGAGCTGTTTTCATGTTCAATGAGGAAAACATCATTTCAGTCCCATTTGTTTGTCAGATTTAGTGAAACAGCTTAAATTTGTGTTGACAGAATCAATAAAATGCGGTGAAGTGTAAGACCATTTGCTCGGCAAATCATCTCTGAGTTCGTTTTGCTGTCTAATCGTATCAACTAGAAGAGCCTGATCCCATCTTGAAATTAAACTGCTCACATTAAGCCTTGAGCCTGTTTCACACGAACAACAGAACATGGAATATTACAGTATGATGTGAAAAACAACAACTGTCAATTGTGTTTTAAAGTTTGTGCGAATTTGATCGGACCAAGACAGAATCCACACTTCTAATGTTGCACAAACAAGAAGTGACTTGAGTGAGCTGGCATTGGAAAGGAGTTGAGGCATCAGACTTATTTTGCTTTACAGTCAATACTTATTCATCGTGACAACATTTAAATTGCACAGAACATATATCACATGAGCTGTAACGCAGCGAGGGAACACGTCCTCTGTTTACTCTGCACAGTGTAAACAGCCAACATGGCCGCCGTCCAGTCAACAAGGAGTGGTCACCACGGTAACTATTGGTTTTCAGACATATGCAATGCATCTCTGCTCTCTCAAGTCTGTTTAAATAAATGTGGATATAAAAAAAACTGAAACAGATGGCTCGTGTTTGAGACATTCCCACTCTCACCAAAACCTGGCTCAGTGTTCGGTAAACTCAACAGACAGTGACGACAGATCAAAGCGGTGGTTGTTTTTGATCGAGGATTATCTGGTCAATCTGAATT